GCATCAGAAAAGAGAAACCCGCTCTTCATGGCCACTGCTTGTAAACAGAATCCTTGCTGAATGTCTAATGAATCACACGAGAAAAGACTGTCGTATGTGAATTGAGTTGGAAAGAATCCATGATTCCTCATGTCAGCAAACAAATTGAAACCTTCCTTGTCTTCCTTATTACGACTGTAAGCACCAATCATGGTGTTATAAGAGACGACTTTTCTGGAGGCATTTCATCGAGCACTTTGCGGGCAACAGATATGTAGCCCAGTGTAGCGTAAAGAGACATAAGATTGTTATGGAAGAATTCAGTTTGCGGTAAGGTAAATCCCATCGTCGTCATAGTGTCTTGAATATTTATGCCAATTTGTAACCTGACTACACAAGAATGTCTTGAATAGAAGATTCTTTTTCTTTTTTCGATTTTGAGTTCTTTTTAGAAGAGAAAAAGAGTAGAAGCAAAAGGTCCGCTCTCTAGAAGATTTGCTCCGAGGGTCTTTCATTCGGGCCCTCTTCGGGCATCCTGTGGGCCAATGCGAACAAGTTTGGGCTTTATTAACATGGCTCATTTGACGACTCGGTTCATGGATGACCCGATTCACCAAGGAATATTTTGGTTGCTTTTGGGGGATTGCTTACTACTAGGTTGGATTGGATGTCAACCTGTGGAGGCACCATTTGTGACTTTTGGACAAATTTATATTTTTAACAATTTGTAGTGCGGTGAAATCTACTTGCTATTTGCATATTGCCTAGCAATAAGTCATGACTAAACTGTAATGGATTTCAGAGGTCATGGCTTAATTGGAATGAATTTCAAACTGTTATGCATCCCCCAGTTTCCTTAAATTCCGGTCCTTGAGCTACTAACGGACATTAATCCCATTCTTTTCACAAATTTCAGTCGTCTGATCATAAAAAAGCCTTAAATTGATTTTTAAATGAGGAATATATCAATTAATGTCATATCACTAATTATTATGTCAAGTCAACAATAATTAGGCCAAGTCATCATTTATCATGCAACAACAGGTTACCAATGAGTAACATTTGAACAACACATATAGTTTGTTAGTGTTTTTTGAAGAAAGACTTTACTTGGATAATGTTTTCTAAACAAACCAAGTTTGAATGATTTTTTTTGAACTATTTTTAAACATAGTTGTCCTTCTAAGTAAATTTTCCTTGTTTTTTTCATTAATTATTTTTATCGGTAAATATATGTTACCGTAAATTGACATTTGAACAAAGTACGTAATTTGGTGGTGTTTTTGACCTTACTTGGATGGCGTTTTCTGAATAAATCAAATTTGGATGATGTTTTTTAGACGATTTTGAAACATAATTACTTTTCCCTACATAAATATGTAGAAGGAGAAATTTGATCAATAACTCAATAAAGCAACGACAATAACACCATAACGATGACTAAGAATATAATTTCCAATTGAGGTTACTAATACTAAACAATCGCAAAAATATGATTTGCATATAAAGATTGATAACTAGAAAATATTGAAAGAAAAAACATATTCATATGCCACTCACTAATCGTTTAATAGCAATCTAATTACAATTGATTTAAGACTATTATTTATGTAAAATATTTTTTAAGGTTTAATTAAAAGCAAACAAATTACAAATCCACTATTTAATTACTTATGTAGGAATGATTGATCGATACAAGTTCAAATTAAAATTTCATGTTTTAATGTGGGCATTTTTTAACTTTAATATTCTCACACACGATTTCTAGGTATTCAAATAATCACGTTTAAAAAAAAAAAAAATCCGTTTTCAACTCATACACAAAACAAAATGTCCTATAACCACTTTGTTAGATGTATTTCTTATATTGTGTTTTATACACTTGTATGTATTTTTGTGTAGTCTTTTGTATAGCAACCCATTTGTATTTAGTCCTTTAGTGTTGTATCCATATTTATATTGGTGGAATGTAATATTTTTAATTATGGGAAAAAAATAACAAGATTACATGTATCAGAACGTTCTCTTTCATAACCCTAGCCGATCTATCGACACCTTTCTCTATCGATCTCATCTTTAACTCTTCTTCCCTCATTTCTCTTATTTCAATGGTGGTCAATACCAATCTTATGGGATTACGAACATAAAAACGCATATCCCACTCACATCAGATGTTGATCGTTTAAATTGTGACACTTGGCGCGAATTATTTCTAACTCATTATATTAAATACATAGTGTTTGATCATCTTGATGGTACAAACAACAAGCCAAACGAACAAGAATTGTAAAAAAAAAATGATTTCATAGTAAAGTTATGTACTTATGGAACCTTAACGCAATCACTTATTCAAATGATTTTGAAGAAAGACACCACAATATGTCAAGTATGGAAGAATCTTGAAGATCTCTTTCGTGTAAACAAGGATGCCAAAGCGATTCAACTTGATAACAAACTCCAAACTCCATAACATCATTATTAGTTACTCGTCAATCAGGAAATATTACACTTAGATAAAAACCCTAGCCTATCTTCTTAACAACATCGATGTCATCATATTGAAAAAGAACTTGGTGATGTACATCATCAACGAGTTTTCTTCCAAATTTAATCATGCACCCGTCTCCCATTTACCATTATTTATAGGCAAGATACATGTTGCTCCTTAATGAGCAACGTATGGAACAAGTGCATCATCGATATGTCCAAGTGTCTCATCTTGACAATTCATCTTCTCCTGTCACTCTTAATGCCAATCACTCAAATTAGGGGTTCAATTCCAATTGTGGCCATAGAAGCGACGGTAGGGGTGCTGGGCTGAACACCAGCGCCGACCTACATGCATCCCAATGTTGCAGCCCAACGTCAACAACCACACCAATTGTCCAATGGCCCACCTTCTTTGGATCAGCCCAATAGCTTCACTTTCAAGCTTTATTCGTTGTACAACAGACCCTTTCCATAGTCCATACCCTTCTAACAATGTTCAACACACTACTCTTCTCCAACACTTTAGTATAATGAACCTCAATGACCACCCATGGAACAGGTAAATGGACTTCAAGGAGACATCTCATCTTCATGCGGACTCAAGTATACTTCCTTCTTTTAGCAATAAGTTCAATTCTTTTTAAGTATGAGGTGGTGATGGATCTCAAATTCTTGTCACAAACACGCATAACACCACTTTTAGTGATAATCCTTTTGGTATCTTATCTCTAAAAAATATCCTTATAACCCCACAAATCATCAAAAATCCTATTTTTGTACGTTTTACTCGTGATAATAAATTTTCTATTGAGTTTGACGAATTTAGTTTTTCTTTGAAGGATTATCGGCTTCGTCAAATCTCCTCAAATGTAACAGCACTCGTGATAATAAATTATGTGAAGGAACCACATTATAAAGTGTTTTCACATCAAAATAAGTTGTGGCGAGTATCGTTTGAAAGACCATATAACCACAAAATTTATAGACATAAACATAATAGTCACAAAAAATCAACATAATGTATACCAACTTACACTATCAATTTCAAAGCAGTCAAAGTGACGAAAACATTTTCGTTGCATCACCTGATATACAATACAACTGGGGGAAAATAAGGGGAACACGTTCAAATATACAAAGTTTTGGGATGTTGTCACAAAAATCTCAAAATGGAATTTGGTGCCAACGTCGGATCGTACAAATTGTGCTTCAAAATGATCAAAAACATGTAGATTTAATTATACAACTTTGTCGAATGCTAGTTGAGATTTGACTAACGATGATGACAAACTTGAAATTAAAGAACCTACCCGCCCGATGAGTGGGGATAAAGCCAAAATGAAAGCTTCTTTGTCTATTTTATCAAGATCCAAAATCAATGAACAATTATAGAGGATGGTAATGGAGTGCAAGATTTTAATTCGAATTTTAACGTACATTTGAAGTTTGAAAAGAAAATTTGTGTAACAGTGAAAAAGCACCCAAAGAAAATCAACATGTCAAATATTTGAAATTGTTGATGTCAAGCACGATTATCTATCGAGTATTGAACTTAACACGTCGTTAGCGTTAAAACAGAAATATCAAAAAAGGATAGGATGCTTAGGCTTTTCTTTTACATATTATTATGTTTTAGTCATTCGACTAATTATAATTATATAACTTTTATTATTTTAGTTTAAATTAATAAAACATATCGATTTTTATTAATTAATTATTTTTATACAACTTACACATTTATTAAAATGTAAAACGAAAAAGTTAGCAGGGTGCGAGGTAATAATTTTCTAGGTGAAAAAGAATGTGAAGGAAGAGAGGAAATATCGTGACGCTGAAGTATAACAACAAAACAAAATGTACGGTCAAATCACGTCTAATAACCATACAAGTGACAAGAGCAAAAATAAAGTAGTGATATGTTAAAACATTTTCAACTAATTTAATAGCGTTTACATTTTATTAAATAAAATTTCATTATGGTTAATTATGTTCATTTTCTTTTTACGTAAATGGTACTCATATCTGTTTGATTCTTCATTTCCGAAACGATGAAGAGTGGGCTTTAGTTGGGCCTTCTTTCAAAACGATGTTGATTTCAATGACTAAAATTAAAAGACTAAAATGTTTCCACTCTTATAGTTATCTAGGCCTTGGTTGGATTGACCCTGATCCATCGAGCTTTTCTCATACATTTGTCGGGTTGATTTGGAGATTATTTGGGGTCGTCTTCTTGGCATGTAGACAAATAAACTTTTGGGCCAATTATTTATTTTGCATTAAGTTATATTTTGATATATATATATATATATATATATATATATATATATATATATAATATATATATATATATGGATGTCTAAAATAAGGAAAGACTCTAGCATCTATTGAATTACATTGGTCATTGCAAAGTACATCATACAATCCAACTAGCTCTTTCCACTTTTTTGGTTTACTAATCGCAATCTTAAACATGATTTGAAAAACCATTTATACATAATACACAAAAGTCAGACGAACCCAAACAATTTGATCTAAGCGATCGTTAGCCCAGAGGAAAAGGTGACCCCGGCCATGTTCGAGCCCTCCATGTTGAACACAGGAAGTGGTACACGAAACCATCTTGACTTTACTAAGTCAAACCCGAGCCAAATAATGTCCCAAGCACCTTCAAAGTTTGACATCAAGATAACCCTAATTGTTTGTTCTCGTTCCTCCAAACATCCCATCATAACCCCATAGGGCTTTTTGATTTCATCAATTAGCCCATTTGGGATCGATGACACAAAAGCCCACTGACTTCCATTTGGGCTCAACCCCCATAATTCTATATGTTTTAAGACTCTAATTCTGCGACAATCATTCAAACCAACAGATCCTGATCGAACGATCAGCATCCGTCCATCACCGTAGATGTGTAATCGATTGATCACACTGCCCCAACTAAATCCAACGGCTAATTCACCATCCTCAGGAAGTGCAGTAAATCTTGGACGTACAACCAAAGGATCATTTATGTCACACCCGACAGAAATGACAATACTTGTATTAGGCCCGTTTGACGCGCTTAGGAATATACGGTTTTTGTCTTTAACATTGTTATGCGTTAAATTTACATTATTCTCCCTTGCTATGGTTGACTTCCACTTGTTTGTAGTGGAATCATACTCGAACAAAGTAGGGTTATTATCGACCATTTCTGCAAACAAGAACCGAAATTGACCCGACTCGGATGGGCCCGCTAACAGTTTGATACCGGACCTCCTCCAGGAGGAAGTGCCACGTGGCCCCAATGGGCTTTGAGGGATTCTTTTGACTGTTTTGGTTATAGGGTCAACGGAAATAACTTCCCGGCTGCAATTCAAAGCAAAAAGGAAAAAGTTACCGGCCGCCGTCAAGAAATAAAGATCTTCACCGGGAGGAGTCACCGGCTTCAAAATATCTCCGATCATCACCTTAAACCACCGTTCTGAGGATTGAGTAAACCCATGAACCACCACTGGATCACGGTGCCACCTCTTCTTGTATACAAAAAGCCAGGTGGAGGAGCTTGATCGGAGATTATAATCACGGGCGAAATCTTGGTCGGCGATCACTGATGTAATGAATTTGTTGACGGATTTTAAGTGGAAGATGTCAGGTAAAGCTAGCCGGAGAATTATGTAATGGATGAGCTCGGAGGGGAGGAGGCTGAAACCAACGACTGTGGTAGAATTCCGGCGGCTTTCCATGTAGGTTTGATCGGCCAAATTATCCGGTTTGTAGCAATGATTCCATTAATATATTTGTTGGATGGATGAAGTGGGTCTTACAAATTAATTAAAAACGGAGAGTAAAAAACGGGTTAAAAGCAACGTAGTGGAAAAGACAAAGGACTAGTTACAATTTGGTACCCAATCTTCAAAGATTTTGCATTTTAGTTACCAAATAGTTTTTATCACGTCGATAATATATAACTTTTTATTAAAAATACACTTTTCTTATTCATATCGGCTATATTTAGTGTACTAACTGAAAAGCTAATTGATAGCAAAAACATAATTGTTAACCGAAAGTTGAACAACTAACTTATAAATTAGCTGATAAGAATAACGTTTACTAAAAATTAACTGATAAGCTAAGATAAATATATAAAATGATATAAAATGACATTTAGAAGAACATGTTTTCTATAGTTAATTAGAGGTATATTTGGATTATTAAAAAAAAGCTTCCAAAAAACTAGTATAAGTAGGTTTTTAAAAACATAGTTTATAAACTATTTTTTTGGTTTATCAAACATTACAACTCAAAAACAAACTCAAAAAATAAGTTAGATGTAGCGCGTCAGACACAACCTAAAAAGAATTTGCCAATTATACACGAAAGACTTTATTTTATTCTTTGTAAAGTTTTAACGTAAAATATTATTGGTAACTACAAATAAATATTGATATTTTAACATTGTTCTCGGTTCATAGTTTAATTTTTAAACTTTTTTAATAAGAAAAAATACTTTAAATATTTTGATAAATAATAAATTTTTAATTTTTTTTTGAAGTATAGTATTTTGTTTTTAATTTAAATTGAAGATAATATCTTATGACATACATGAAATATATCGAGGAAATTTTTTAGGAAATTTTTTATATGTATTTTTATTTTTATTTTTTTCATATTTACATGAGTCAACGGTTACATATCATTCAACTAAAACCAATAAAAATTTATCAATATTAATTTTAGAATGACTAGCCTAATAAATACATAAAAAAATCTTTCTCTAAAATAAAGAAGAATCTGACAAAAGTCTAAACGAATAACTATAATAATTATAGCAATTAAAGATTTGTTGAATTTTTTTGATGAATATTACGTGTTTTTTTGTTAATATTTGGATATATTGATTCGTATATTGTTTTCACAAAAAAAAAAAAAAAAAAAAAGGTAAAGTAAGCATGATGTGTGTATCCAACTGCAAATATAAGTGCCATGGTACGTAAGAATTGATAATCCTTCAAACTTGAAGGACTAAAGATGTAACTTTTAGTGTAATAGTAATAGTAGTATAGTAAGTACAAAAGGGTAGGCCAAACAAGCAGCGTCGTCGTATATATAAAAAAATGAATGGCTGAGATCCTTCAAGTAGGAATTGATAATCCTTCAAACTTGAAGGACTGAATATGTAACTTGTAGTGTAATGGAAATAGTTGTATCGTACAAAAGGGTAGGCCAAGTAAGCAGCGTCGTCGTATATAAAAAAATGAATGGCTGAGATAGCACGCGTGATACAAGAAGACATAAATAGTGATTAAGCCACTGCTTAAATAATAGGCTTAGAAAGTCAAATATTCACGTGGACCCACTTAGTGTTTCATTGTAGGATTCGATTATGTTGGTATTTTTTTTAGATAATTAATAAATCGTTGTTGATTGAGTTAAGTGTGATTAAGTCAGATATAATTCTGAATCTGATAAGTGGCATATTAGGGAAGACATGATCAAGTAAAAGATTTTTAAAAGATTTTTGAATGTGATATTAAATAGTTTGAATTTGCTTGAGTTAAACCTAGTCTCTTACCAAACTTGTACCAGTTGATATAAGTTTTGAGAAATTAAATATGTTTTATTTTTTTCCTACAAATTCTCCTATCCAATTAAATGATGACATGTGTTATATTAGTATATTAAAATATCATTAAATATTACAAACGTCAGTATTTAGTTGGATAGGAAGATTTATAGAAACAAAAAGTATAATTTAAATAAAACAATAAAGAATGATACAAAAGATCGTTACATAAAGCTAGTAAAATATATAAATCCGAAAATAAACGGATTTCAAAACCTTGTGAAACCAAGCTAAGTATAACACTTATTATAAATACCTAACTTAGAATATGAGCTTTACTAAAGATAAAATATATCTTTATTGCTTTTCAGGTGTTTAAAAAATGAAGAATAAGACAAGTAAGACATAAACAAAAATTAAAACAAAAAAGTGGCGTGGAAGTTCCCATCACTATATAATTACTTTATAGAAAAATTATAGATAAAAAAATGTTTTAGTTAATACCGAAATATATAATTTAAATTATATGGGAATTTATTTTCTTTTTTATCAAATAGGATAATATTAGTCGTGGACTATTCATTAATACAAATAATTAGTTATTGGTGTATAGCAAACTAGCTCAATTCAATGACTTATTTAAACATTTTCATTGATTATATAAATGTTTCAAGTATGTTTAAAAATACGGGAAAATATCATATTAGCCCTCGAACTTGTAACATTTGTTTTAAAAGGTTATTTTTATTATTTATTTATTTTTTGCTTTCTAGGGACATGAACTTTGTTTTTACCTATTGTTTTGAACCCTTTACCTATTATATCATGTTGTAATGCCAGCACAAAATTAATACACTTGGATCCTACATGTAGGCTAGTCAATATGAAATTTCCCAAAAAAGTCAAACCACTAATTTTCTTTACATATAAGTCAAAATGAACACCAAAATGTTGATAAGGTGTTTCCATCATCTACTCGACGCCATCAATTTCTACATCAAAACCTTCATCCACCGTTAGATTCGATATCTTTGAAGCTTCAACCAAATCACCGACGTCATAAAACCCACGAATCAAACAGTTTCCCGACTCAGTCCTTGGATGCATCAGACAGTTGTGGAGTTAACTTGCGTCATGCTTCCAACGAGCCCTAAAGGTTCTCCAGCTCATCGACCCATCTCCGACTCAAATGGTCGATCGAAAGAAACTCTATGTATTGGAAAACCATTAGAGTTCAATCTGATCGGTTTTATACAAACAATCTTATGTGTGCATGCAACCTTAGATTCGATCTATGTTTTCTCTATTAGACATACAAGCATTGAACACAAAATAGAAAACCCTAATATGCATCTAATATTTCGAAATCTACATAAGAAAGATTAGAACACATACCTTTGTTGTTATATAGTAATAACAACCAATTCTTGAAGATCTTTGCTTTTGAGAACAAGTACCACAAGCGTAGTACCTCAAATGGCTCACAAACACACTAGGGCAAGAGGATGAATATGAGAGAGAGGAGACACTTGCTCATAAATTCGGCTCTTCTAGGGTTTCTTGGAGGTGCACAAATTCAAGAGGCCAAGGGATCTATTTATACTTGAGGCTAGCTAGGGTTTTGAGGTAGAAACCCTAATCCCTTAGCTTAGGGCCTAAGCAAGTCCATGGACTCCTTTACCTTAGGGCTTGGACGAAAATCTATAGAACCTTCTAGGGATCTTCGACCCTCCCTAATAAGGGTGATCCATGAAGTAATTCAAATGAGCGTGGGTCTAATCCAATACTCAAATCCTATTTCAGTAGTACTCATGAACGTTGCAACAACCTTTTGCTATGTCTAAGCACTTAGACAATCTACAGGCCAATTGATGTCAGTCTTAATTCACTACTTACTTCCAAAGTATGATTGACTGTGGATAATTTAAACAATCCAATTATTCAGGAAGTAAAACATGCAAAAGAGAAACAATAGTAAACAATTGACACAAGATAGTAAACAATACTCATACGTAAATCTCCATTACTTATTCATCAAATGTCAATTACATTTATCTATTACAAGTTTGTAAAATATCTATCTAATCACTAAAACTAATATCGTCCTTCAGACCAATGCTCCTTCCATGCTGAACGTGCTTAATCCTACTCAGACCCTTTGCGAGGGGATCTGCAGGATTCTCTTCTCACGATACCCTTTTGACGACGATGAGTCCTTCTTCTACCCGATGTCTGACGAAGTGGTATTTTATGTCGATGTGTCTGGATTTACCATGATCCCTTGGTTCCTTTGTCAAGGCAACCACTCCTTCATTATCGCAGAAAATCTCCATGGGCTCCTTTATGGATGGTACAACTCCAAGGTCTCCAATGAAGTTATTCAACCACATAGCCTCCTTCGATGCTTCACACACAACTATGTACTCTGATTCTCACATTGAATCGGCCACGGTCTTCTGTTTGGAACTTTTCCAAGTCACAACTCCTCCATTAAGGGTAAACACCCAGCCTGACTGAGAACGGAAGTTGTCTCGGTCGGTCTGAAAGCTGGCGTCACTATACCCTATCACTCTCAAGTCATCACTGCCACCAAGTACAAGGACCCAGTCCTTAGTCCTTCGCATGTACTTAAAAATGTTCTCAATTGCTATCCAGTGAGCTTTACCTGGGTTCCCTTGATATCGACTGGCCATGCTCAAAGAAAAAGCCACATCAGGGCGAGTACATGTCATAGCGTACATGATCGAGCCAACGACGGAAGCATATGGCACTCGACTCATTTCCGCTATCTCTGCATCGGTACTCGAACTCTGAGTCTTACTCAGTTTGGTATTGCTCTGGATAGGTAACTCCTATTTCTTGGAATTCTCCATGCTAAAACGCTTTAGCACCTTGTCCAAGTAAGTACTTTGACTAAGTCCAATTAGTCTTCTACTCCTATTTCCCAATATCCCTATCCCCAGAATATAAGGTGCCTCTCCTAGATCCTTCATAGCGAAACACTTTCCAAGTCAGGACTTAACCTCCTGCAAGGTTGGAACTGTTGGGTTATGAGCGAAACAACATTCCTATGGTATTCATACAAACCCTAATGCTTGGATCTAGTTTTTCTATTTGTACATGCAACAATTGTCCAAGACTTACAAACCCTAATCTAGCATACAACAAAACCGAAATTAA